GTCCTCTTCCCTGGGAATGGCAGCTGCTCACACTCACTCATGAAGCTCTTTACACCTCCAGCAGGACCCCCGCTGCCCCTCAGCCCCCTCTCTCCCCGGCAGCCCCCCACCATTGCTCCGGGGTGTCTCAGGCAGCTTTCTCTCCAGGCTCCCGCCCGCCCGGCCACCTTCCCGGGAGTAGTTTGGCTTCTCCAGTTGTGAAAGGAATGAGTGTCCAAGACAAGATCTTGGTTGTGTCTTCCCAGAAAGACGTGACGGACCGGTTCACCCCTGTCTCTGCCATGCGATGAAAGATGCACTCGTTTATTTGAATTATGCGGAGAAGGACCCGGCTGGGAGGGGAAGCCCCATTGGGCCTCAGCTGCCCGCGGAACCATCTCGGGCTTCTCGGAAGCAGGGTAGCCCCCGGGTGACGGGCAGGGGGAGGGAGAACGTGAGAGTGAATGGGATTGATCACTAGCACCAGCGCGCGGGTTCTGTATAAGCAAGCCTTCAGACCAGGATTCAGGAGCCTTCGGTGTCCCTGTGGCAAATTCATGAAGTGTTTTTGCAAAAGCGAGACATCTGTTCCCTTGCTTCCTTCTCCCCACGCCCATTGGGAGCTGTGGGGACATGGGGTGCGGCCTCTGTTGTTCGAACTTCGCTGCCTTCTTCACAGGCTGTCAGGAAACTTGGGGCGGGGACATGTTCGTTACGGGGACCGTGACGATGGCATCGTAGGTGTTCACGTGCATCTGAACGCACCCAAGTGCATGCATGTCATGTGTGCTGTGTTGTGTCTGTCGGCGACATGAGGCTGCTCTCAGAAATGTTCTCAGGAAAGTATCTTGTCTGACGGGCGGGGCTTCCTTTCTCCCGGGGCCTGACTGCCCTGTTCACCTGCGGTACGACTGGGGCCATGTGCCCCCTAGAACCCACAGGACTGTCCTTTCCTATCCGTGGCAGAAGCTTCTGTGCCCTGAGGGGACAGGCCTGCTGGGTACCTGCTCTGTTCCCCCCGCCCCCATTTTTAAAGCCCAGGAACCACGCATTTCCCAGCTTCTTCCAGAGCCGTTTTTCTTTTTCCTCCTTTAGGTTTTATTGTCTTTCATCCTTGACTTCCCACCCAGGTAATTTTCCTTCCCTTTTTCTTTTTTTAACCATTTGTTTTCTAACCGTCACTTTCTTTCCCCTGCCTAAACGGTCCTTTTCCCATTCTTCTCTCCCAGTATTTCAGCCTCCGTTCACATCAGATTGCTGTATCTTATTTCTTCTCTCTCTCTAATTTGTCATTGGCAGTTGACATTCAGTATTATTGTGTGTTAGCTTCAGGGGAGAGTCTAGTGGCCTGACGGGCTTGTTCTAGCCGTGGTGTCTTTGACCCTGGCTTGGGGGAACTTGCTCTGAGCTCACCCACCCCCTGTGCATGCTCAGCCCCCTCTGTGGGTGCAGCACCCACTCCAATAAGAAAGGGACTGTAGACGCCTCCCGAACAGAGTGGAGATTAGACAACGCCATTCCATGTGGCAACAGGAAGTCCCCTTGAACTTGAAGATGTGCCAGTGGGTTAGAAGTGACCAGAGCCCCGGCTGGTGTGGCTCAGTGGATTGAGTGCCAGCCTGTGAACCTAAGGGTCACCGGTTCGATTCCCAGTCAGGGCACATGCCTGGGTTGCAGGCCAGGTCCCCACTAAGGGGTGCAGAAGAGGCAACCACACATTGGTGTTTCTCTCCCTCTCTTTCTCCCTCCCTTCCTCTCTCTAAAGATAAATAAATATATAAACTCTTTAAAAAAATAAAGAAGTAACTAGAAAGGAAGCTGTGCAGACTCTCTCCCAAGCCGCCGTGATAGTAAAATGGGGAGAACACCAAGGGAGTTGGGCCGGGCATTTTTTTTTTTTTTTAATGCAGGAGATTTCTGTCCTACACATTTGGGAGAAGGGACAATGGGGAGGGGCGAAAGATGAGGCAGGGTCCTGTGTGGCCGAGGGGCTAATGACATTCAGCAGGAAGCAGAAAGAAAGGGGCAGGGACCCCAGAGCTGAGTCTCGGAAGGGAGTACGGTGGCTCTTTCTGCTGGGAGGACGGACGGACAGATGGACAGACAGACGAGAAGGCTGCCCTCTGGCACTTGCTGGAAGGATGGAGGGGGGCAGGGCTGGAGAAGGACTTGGGTGCCTTCCGAGGGCAGATGGCACCAGAGCAGAGAAGGAGGAAACCAGGAGTCGGAGAAACCAGGTTTTCAGCTCACCTCACTGAGGGCCGGACGGACCACCACCCAGATCAGAAACATCCAAACCGAAGTGGGTCTCACGCCTGTGGAAGACTTTCTTTTGGAGAACGCTGGGTTCGGGTGCCTGTGAGGCAGGCGGTGGAGACCTGGAGGCAGAAACTGGGTGTGTTGTCTGCAGGGAGGAGCCCGGGCTGTAGAAGGCACAGTACCGTCCTGTGCCGTGTACAATGCACACGTTTTTGCCCAAATTCTCCAGGGAAAAATAAGGGACACACCCTGATACGTGGGTCGTCCCTGAAATACCTTGTATCCATTTTTGAGTTTTATAACAATTCACTACGTATAAAATTTCTTGTACTATAACATGTTCAAAAACAAATGCTAAAATTCCTTGATAATACAAAAAAAAAACAAGCATCTAAATATAAATAAAAAGTTGGATTGAAAAATTAAAACAAAAGATTTTTTTTCCTGAAAGTTGGGGCCAGAAATGTGGGTGTGCCTTCTATGTGGCAAAATACGGTATTTCGGGACCGAAGCCTCCAGACTACAGGGAGGGGCTGATCTCAAGAGGAAGAAGATGTGAGCGTGCAAAGCATGCACCGGGGCGGAGGTAGGAGAGGCCACGGGGAACTGGAGAGTGTGGCTCAGTGGGGGTGGGGGAGGGGCGAGTACAGGCAGCAAAGCCGTGGGCAAGGCAGGGAGTTTGGGAGTACGAGAGCTGGCTGATGGTAACTTACCCCGGGACACACCCGACTTGTTGTTTCCCCATCAACCCCCGAATATTGACGACCAGTACCAACCGTTTTGCACAATAGATCAAACCATAACAATTTGTCGAAATGGTTTTCCCCTCCCGTGAATGGTGTTTTGCGACACCGGTTTTCACAGGTTCACTTCCGGGGGGAAATCCAATGGCGTGGGAAGAAACCTAAGTACCTTGTACTCACCCGCCCAAGCACACTCTTAGAAACACAGCCAATCCTATGAACGCCAACGCTTAGCTTTTTTTTTCCCCCCACGATCAGAAGTCTTTGGGGCCTGTTTTAAAGAAAGACACATAAATACAATAGATACATAGAGACCACAAAGGAAAGACAGACTTTCCCAGGAACGAATCCTTCCTGGGAGGCACAGCTTCTTCTGTGCCTTTCGAGATGAGGCGTCGTGCAGATGGAACTGTGCACGCGCACACACACCCCGCGCCGAGGCTGGTCGCTCTGTGGGAGAGAATGTCAGACTGTTTCATCCTGGAAACGAGAACATGGTTTCCTCTTCCTTCTGTTTCCTCACTTTTCTTAAAGGGCAGCCTGCGAGCCATAACCGCACTTTCACTTTTAAGGTTTTCCATTTGCACGGAGCTTTTTCTGGAAGGCTCTGTGCACACCCATGTCGAACACATCCAGCTCTCAGATTTCCCCTCTCTACTTCTTGACTCTTTCTCATTTTTCTTCGAATCCTTGCAGTTTAGTGGTTCATTTTTTTCCAAATATTTTATCACACTTCCCATCCGCCGGGACATTTTTTTCCTCTTTGCCTGACCGTATATAGACAGAGAATTGAAAAATGGACAGTTTGTTCTTCTCCCCATCACCCTGCACAAGGTCATTTTAATTTGTCTTCCTTTTTCTCATTGGCTCCCCTCAGAAGACACCCTCAGAGCCCAGTTTGAGGGTCACTTGGCGAATCTAAAGAGGGACGCAGAGGGATGAGTGTTGGTGTTTGTTTGCGGATGGCATGAGCAGAGAATGACTTGAAATCGCGATGTCTGCATAAATTACAGAAATAAGCCTTTAACCAAGAGAGATAGTGGGCGTTCCTGACTTCGCCTAATGTATCTTATCTGTTGGTATCCTGGATTTTTCAGTCCATCAACTTGGACTTGCAACTTGAGAGTTAGGAGATGCACCCGCCGGTCGGGCAATTTCCAGTGTGTTCAGAGAGAGACAGCCTCAGATCAAATCTCGCTTGGGTTGTGGTTACATTCCCGAAGACTCAGTTTTCCTGGTACCCGAACTCATCCCCTCTGGGACACGTGCTTTATGTGAGATCTCTCTTCTTTGGTGTCCTGTGTGTCACCTCCTGTCCTTGGAGGGTGACTTCCAAGGCATGTCCCTGAGCACTCACCCACACTCGGCCCCAACTGGCAGCAGTTACACCGGGAAAGGGGGGAGAAACATGGTCTTCGAGGGATTCCTAGGGGCAGCCAAGATTGGGAGGATTACGGGACTCAGGGAAACACTCTTTGGCTATTTTGTTACCTTCATTTTGAAAGCTATGCCCCTCCCCCCACCCCCGGCCTTGCCATGAACTGTCCATTTATCTAAAACTCGCCGAACATCTGACTACACAGAAGCACAGCCACGGGCCCAGTAATCCCATCTCGGCCCATTACTGCCACTCCCCAAGGACACACTGTGGAATTTGTCATAATTTACAGAAAATTCCCCAAGTGCATGCGTCCCTGTCAGCCTCTGATGGCCACAGTGTCCTCATTAGTTCTGAACTATGTGGCACGGGGCTGGACTGTGGGCCCCTGATTTAATCGCTGGCCAGGTCGCCATGGAGATGACACCCAGCCTCCAGCAAACAGTGGGCAAAGGGAGAAAACAGAACAGGGCATGCAAATGAGCTTCCTAGGTAAACACAAGGCCCTGCTCCCAGGGCCTCCACTGCGCGTGCTCTGTTCCCAGTCACTGACCTGAAAACCCCCATCGCGCCCCCGGGCCCCCACCCTGCTCTGTCCCCACACTGTTTCACTCTGTTTGTTTGTTTTTTGTCTTTTTCAGATACATCAACACTCCTACACTGGATATTATGTCCTGAGCAAAATCCCTCACGGGTAAGATTGTTCTTCTGTTTTTCTTTTCACGAGAACCCTGCAGAACAGCGCCCAAGGCAGGACGCTGGCTGCTTGTTCAATTGTTGGGAGTTTAGGGGCGGGAAGCAGGGGCCTTGACTGTCACAGCTCGAAGTGGGGACAACGCATGGGGCCTCTGGGACTCCTCCCCAGGTCCCTTGAGTCCCGCACTTGGCCCCTTGGGCAGCCCCCTCCTAGACCAGCTGCGCCCAGCCCTACTGGGTCCCCTGGGCTTCGTCACCAGCTGCAGGAACGCAGGTGGGACTGGCCCTGAGACTTCCCTACATGACAGGGTGGCACCCTGAGCTCACGCAGCCTCTCAAAAATGCGTGATCAGGGACCTGTCTTGGGGGAGACCGTCTCTGGAGCCCAAAGACGGTGAGGCCTGGTTCAAGTTCGGTGAAGCCGTTGGGTGAGCAGGACACATGGAGAGAGAGATAGTCACAGAACCAGGGACATAAGGCAGGGGTGGCTTTTTAACCTTTTTGTTTCTATTATTTTTCTCCCGTCCTCCTCCTCCTCCTCCTCCTCCTCCTCCTCCTCCTTCTTCCTCCTTCTCCCTCACCACCTCCTGTAACCCCGCCCCCCACCTTCTTCTTCCTCAGCCCATCTTCCTCCCTCAGACCCTCCGTGGTTCCTCTCCGTGTCCCAGGACAGGTGAGGTGCTCAGGCATTGTCTGCAGTACTAGGCGGAGGCCCCCGCAAACATTTCGTACAAACAGCTGGGGTTGGGGTTCCAACGAGCACCAGTCCATGGGAGAGCGTCATTCCCAGACCGAATTTCTGTTCTGCAGCCTCCCGGTTCCCCCCTCGGTTCGGGCAGCTTGTGGGCGGAGCTTTGGGAAACACACAGGGAGGAAACCGCTTCCTTGGGCCTTCAGATGCAGGGCTCCCGCAGACGCGAGGCAGAACGCGGTTCCCAGGTCCCTAGTCTCCTTCGGACCACGAGAGCGATCGGGCCCAAAGGACTGGCGGCCGCCCACGAGACTAGAAACAGTGTCCACAGCCATTTTTCATCGAAAGCGTATTTCAAGTCGAAACTCCAAACGTTTGCCACGCAGCAGCGGCCCTTCTGTTATTTCTCAAACAGATACACATCTTCAAAGGTCACGACAAGCAGAGTGTAATTATGCCCCGAGATTTATCTGCCTCTTCTGGGAACAATACAATTTATGGTAGATGATGGCTCTTCCGTGCTGCCTCATATAAATTCGTAAAGCTCCAAACTATGTACCAGCATTTTACGCTTCCCATACAGTATTAGTGTTTGACTGCCCCGCCGGAATTTGGGAGAAGCAGATGCCGAGAACTCAGCTAAAGGGGTCACCAAACCAGGGGAGTGCCCGAGGATGAAATGACCTGTGGGGGGGACCTGGTGACAGTTACCGTCCCCCGTGCGGGACGCCCACAGATAATAATCACTTTGGGTATTTCTAAAATAATCATGATGATCATCGTTGCCACCGTTTTTATTGGTTGACATTCATGTACCTTCACCCCCGCACCCTGCAAGAACAGCGTCTTTATCTCCAGCAGCAAGGGCGCCGGGACATGAACTGCCCTCCTGACCCCTGCTAGCTGCCCCAGCAGAGCTGCACCCCAGCCGCTGCCTGGCTGGCTCGGAGCCCCGTGTCCCCAAAGCGGCCCCTTGGGTGACATCAATAAGTCCCCCACCAAGGACTGTCGACTGGTGTGCCACAGGAAAGCTTGAAACATGCAGTGCTAGGCTATTCAGTCAGGGGCACTGACCTCTTCTCCCTTAGATTGTCCAATGAAAAAACAGATGACAACAGCCAACACAATGGTGGCCGTCCAATGTGAACGAATCAAAAGGATACCTATTATTTTTGTCAGATTGACAAAAAATAGAATTTTTTTGGCACGCCACAGAATGTTAGTGAGTTGTGTATGTGTGCCTGGTGATGAGAGAGGCTGGAAATCGCTGGGTTACATTGTAGCCATAAATAGCAGAGTTATCCTTGAGCTCATATATTTTCTTTCCAAGGACTGGGGTGATTGAAAGATGTAGCGGGTGACCGGCTACATTGACCGGAAACACTGTCTGGTGGGTGAGGATGTCAGGGACCCTCGCTACCACCATGTAACTGACGCCGTGTATCCAGAAATGGCTCTTGATCCGCAGTCCCTGTCCCTCTTTGTCCCAAAATTGCTTTTGGGAGATGAGCCATTGAGTGATTCCCAAACATTGGCAAATCTTCTTTCTCTTGACGAGGCAAGGGGTTTCTGACCTGGGGGAGCCGCTGGTCCTCAGGTGTTTTTCACCGACCCCTCTGATGTCAGCCAGCAGGTGCTAAAGCAGGTGGCAGACAGGACAGGTCAGCATGGGGTACAGGGGAAACCAGGGAAAGAGAGAGAGAGAGAAACATGAATCAGTTGCATCCCATATACACCTCGACCGAGGATGGAACCCACAACCTAGGCATGTGCCCTGACTGGGAATTGAACCCCCAACATTTTGCTGTATTGGGATGATGCTCCAACCCACCGAGCCAGCCGGCCAGGGCTCCATATTTTAAGAAAAATGACAACAATGCCCACCTTATAGGCACATTTTAAGAATTAAGCAGAATGATATATCCGAAAGACATCAGAGAATTGTGCTTCTAGTGAACAAATGGGAATGTTAATTTTTAATATCGTGGTATGAGGCCAATGTATATTTGTGGTCTCGTAATTAAACATTATGTGGCTTTAGTTTCTAGGCAGCTCAAACCCTTTCTGTCACAAGGAAAGGCGTGATATACTGCGTAGTAAACCCCCTTCCTAATTCCTCAAAGCGAAGGGTTGTTCCATGACGCTCAGGTAATTACATGTGATTTTTCATGTCTCTCTTAAGAGAGCCATCCGCGGCCTCCACCATCCACAGTTCTCAATATTCACTATTTCTTGTCTCAATCTGACCTGCTGCAATTACGTTGCAAGCATCCCTGTCGAGCCAGCAATGGAAGCAGGAAAGGCAAAGTCAACAAATATTGACCAAAATGCTGTGTGGAATAGCAGGAGCAATGGTCGCCATCCTTCAGAAGTTCAAAATCTAGTTGGAAAGAGGAGACGCGGGTCTGTGCATGTCATTTAGGGCCTTGGAGGAGTATTTTAAACGCCGAGCGCAGAAGAAGAGAGAGCTGTGGTCTCCAGAACTCTCCTAAAGGCGCTCTGGTGTGCGCGGATCCTTAGAGGAAGTTTCCTCAGATGAGGTTGTTTTGTTTTGGTTTTTTAATGGATGGAGGCAGAGAGGAGATAGTTTGCATTGAGGAAATCATCAAACAGGCTTGGCCTTTGCCATGAGCCAGAGTCTTCCAGGAGGTCCTGGGGGGCCAGGCGGGAGCAGGGGCGTGCAGCTGGGACTACGGCTGGGTAGAGATGAGGTTGGGTGACCCTGAGGACAGAGGATATAGATGCCACCCCAGCGTGACCTGTCTTTGCAGGAAGAACGTGCTGAGCACTTGGAGCAGACGAAGATGGCAGGCTCAAATTAGTTTGATGCCTGTGTTCAGGGTAGGCAGAAGGGAAGGGGTGCTTAGCAGCGTGATTCAATTAGGAAGCCTGGTGGGGAGTCGTGGCCCCATGGGTCTGGGCGGCCCGTCAGGGTGGAAGCCACATGCGATCATGGGTAGCTGGCGTTGTCTTGGGAAATGAAGACTGATTTCAAGACTGCTTTGTATTGCACATCCCTGTAATTAAATCTCAGGCAGTCTGTGCCCTGTTGTGAGTTGAGCCTGGTGCAGGGGAAGATACAAAGTAGCAAGTTCACAGGAGGGGCAGGATGAGATTTCTCAGGCCCGGAAACAGCGCCCCGCCCAGGTGGAGTGCAGGTCCTTCCCAGCCCATTCTTCCTGCGTGACTCCCCCTGGGATGCTGCCTCTGGGCCTTGCACACAGATGGACACGCTTGGCCTCCACGGAGCGTGTATGCCTCAAGAGGTTGCGTGGACATGATGGTGTGTATGCCCTGGGGAAGTACCAAGGTGAAGCCCAGATGTAGAAGAAAGAGATGTTTTTAAAAGGTTAGTTCCTGTGTCTCTGGCTGTTACCGGCTCACCGTGTTTTCAGCACTCTGGACAGCGCCCAGGTCGCAGGCTCGGTCTCCCCTGCTTCTCCCTTTCCTCCCCTCCCCTCCTGGCCCCCTTCTCTCTCTCCTTCTGCCTCTTTGTGGGGCAAGGGAGGCGGACTCCTATCAAGCTTGACCACGAGAACATGGGCTTTAGAATCAAATAGATTCTGCAGTAACTTCCCCATCTGCCGATCTGCCTGTGCCATCTCAGGAAAGTTCCATTGCTTCTGTGGACAAAGTCACTTCATGTGTGTAGTGCATACGAAATGCCCAGCCCAAGGGGTTCACACAGAGGCCATAGGGAGCGCTGTGGGACACCGAGCTGGTGAATTCCAGCACCCAGGGCAGTGACTCCATCTGTGATGTCACCGAGACAGTGATGTGGCCAAATCGGACCCATTGCCCCTCCCCACGCTCCCCTTGCTTTTGGTCAGAAAATGCATTTCAACCTCAATGTCAACTCAGATGGATGGTAATGGCTTCCTGGGGCACAAAGGGAGTCCAGAGCCCGGTTTTGTGGGAAAGGCCATGCTCCATGCCTGGGGCCGGAGAGGAGGAAGACGCCTACTGGGTGTCCGACTGATGCCCCCAAGCAGGACGGGCCCCTGGGCATCCACACCTCCCCTCCCTCCGTTCTCCTCCACACCCCGATGCAGCCCAGAAACTCCCTGGTCCTGCATCTCATACCCAAACCCTCCTGAGCCTCCCGCTCCCAATGCTGAAGCCCCTTCTCCCACGACCTGACCCCCAGGGGCCATCCTTCTCAGTTCACGTTGTCACTTACTCTCGTGCTGAACTGCAAGTGACCTCATGGCCAAGGCACCGTTTTTCTGAACAGAATGTGCAGTAGTGTTTTCGACGTGTACTTGCCAGGCACACACCACTGTCCCTCATTCACAGTGTCAGGGCCA